GGCTTTTCAAAAACCCATATCTATACTTCCCTACAAGCGGGATTCACACAACATGCCAAATCCCAAACAGGTTAACAAAACCCCAAAGTCCAGTTCAGATAAAATGCAATGCCAGTGAAATGAGCCTGGCTTGGGATGTTCTAGTTCCCTTTCTTCAGGGTTTGCTTTTAATAGCCATGTCACACCACAACATGCAGGCGGGTTCAGACAACATGCCCTAAGCCCAAACACGTCCCCCAACCGCAGTGGCCGAGTTCACACAAAGCACAGGGCTTGCAGGAAGGAAGCTGAAGAGGCTGTCCTGGTTCACTCACCCTCCTGACACGTTGAACTGCAGAGGATCCAGCCCTATTTCAGCCTCATCAGCACGTGGTGAGAATGCAGGCACAATCTCGGGCACCTCCTTCCTTGCAAAGCTTTTCTTCTTTCCTGCTGGAGATTTGCAATGCAAACTCTCCCCCTCCCCCACTACCCCAGTGGAGCACATGGTGTTGCCCCTCTCTTTGCAGAGGGAGCCCCCTGGAGGATGCTTTGTGCAATGCAGGACCTCATGCAAAGAGGGGACAAAGGCTGTTATTTCCATGGGGTCAGGAGGAAGGGGGCTGTGGTGTCTCCCCATCAGGAAGCCTTCTCCATCCAGCTGCTTTGGACAACTGTAGAACATCTCCAAGCTTCCATTTTTAGGAGAGGTTCTGGAGAAAGTTGCATCCTCATTTAGAGGGAGCAGGTGAAGCAAAGGAGCAGACACGAAATGGAATTCAGCAGTTTTCTTACTTAAGAGAGCAAAAATAATCCTGTCTTGATTCTGTATCCCATAAAAGAGGTCAGTGGGAAACTCTGACAGGCTTTCAAGATTCTGTTCTTGAGCCCCCCAACAACATCACAGAGCTCCCATTGGCTCTGTGGTGTCCACTTCCTGACCTGGCTCACCTGAAAGGGCTGACGCTCAGTTTCTGGCCGGGATACAGGATGGGAATTGCATCGGTTGCACTTATGGATGACTTATGGAGAGGCCAGGATTGGGGTTGTGCAGTCCTACCAGGTCTCTCAGTGGCCTTCAGTACCCCTGACCGTTGCCTTCTTCTGCAACGTGTCTAAGGGAATGCCCTGCTTTGCGGTAGTTCTCCTCCTTCCTGAGGTCCTGATGGTGGAAGTCTTCCTTCTCCTTCAAGCAAGCGCCTGCGTGTTTATTCCCGTCTTGGAGGTGAACCTCATCACCTTTCTTCTAACAGTATGGTGAGCCAGCCTGGAGCTCGAGACTAACTGGTTTGATGGACCAAGCCCGGGCAACTTCACCCGGCCGGCATCGTACCATTTGTCCGGAGGGTGTCGTCCCGGACTCTGCCCACTTTGACATGGGTACTAAAAGGAGTTTTGGTTTTGAGCCAAACAGTTGCTCAAACCTGAGACTTCAGAGTTGGTAATTGCCCTTTTTTGCGCCTTGTGCCCAGCGAATGTGTGAACATGTTTCCCTCTTTATGTTTCAATCCATGCTGTTGACCAGGGCTCTGGGTCTAAAAATTCAGTTCCAGATGCCCCCAGACTTCCATGAATCTTTCTTGGACAAGGACTGGGAGGTCCTAGAAAGCAAGGGGGGCTGACAAGACCCACGTGCCTCAACGGGTAGCACAAGGTCGTGCACTTGACTCTATCTGGGCAAATACCGGCCTGCTTGTCTTGTTCCTCTGTTAGTCCAGAAGCAGGGAGTGAGGAGGAGGGCCAGGAGTTCACTGGGAAGTCTCCGGGTGTAAAGGATATGCCTTACACCTTGGGGGACATGCGTGTCATCAGTTAGGGAAGATGGGGAATGAGCAGCCCAAGGTCTCCCGACCTCCCCCTGGAAAGGATGCTCCTCGCCTGGGACGGGGGTTATTACCCGTACAGGCAGGGATGAGGAAGAGTTTTGCATGAGATTTGTGTCTGGGATGGGCTCGGATGACCGAAACAGCTGGTAGACCAATTTGGCCTGCAACGGGAACCTTCGACGGCGCCATATTAAAATCTCTGTGATCGAAACTAAGAGCTTCCCATCTGCCCTGTGGTTCTGCTGGGCAGGACTTTCTAATCCCAAGGAACTTCCTTCCTTCCTTCCTTCCTTCCTTCCTTCCTTCCTTCCTTCCTTCCTTCCTCCTCGACCGTTAACTAAGCACCTTTATTTATTAACCCTTTATTCTGCCCCTCATGTTTGGATGTCTTTTGGCTTCAACACCAAGCTCAGACCCATTTTGTGGTGCAACATTTTCCCCAGGAAAACTATCCTTGGAATGGAGACCTTACCTGGTGTCTATGGGGAGATCTTCAGACTCTCAAGGTCTCCAAGCTTAAAAATTCAGGGAGGAAACAGGATTCAGAAATCCCTAATGAAAGCCTAAATGCCTCAATACTAAATATAGATGTATATATACAGTTGTTGTTGTTAGTCGTTAAGTCGTGTCCGACTCTTCGTGACCCCATGAACCATATTGCGCCAGGCCTT